GCTCTTCCCCAGTAGCATATTGGGGAAGAGCAGAGGGCTAGTACTAGTAGCGCCAGAAAGAATGAAGCAACTGGGTCAAAGCCGAAAGGACACTCAGCTGCAGATGTATCTGGTGGTGAAAGGAGAGTCCGATGCTGTAAAGATCTATACTCCATAGGAACCTGGAATGTAAGATCCATGAATCAAGGCAAGCTGGATGTGGTCAAACAAGAGATGTCAAAACTGAACATTGACTTCTTAGGAATCAGTGAACTAAAATGGACAGGAATGGGTGAATTTAATTCAGATGGCCAAGAATCCCACAGAAGAAATGGAGTAGACTCCATAGTCAATAAAGGAGTAGGAAAAGCAGTACTGGGATACAATCTCCAAAATGGCAGAATGATCTCAGTTCAAATCCAAGACAACATCAGAGTAGTCCAAGTCTATGCCCCAACCACTGGTGCTAAAGAGGCTGAAGTTGACCGGTTCTATGAAGGCCTACAAAACCTTCTAGAATTAACACCCAAAAATGATGTCCTTATCATCACTGGGGATTGGATCCCCTTCCTTCCTAAAGTAGGAAGCCAAAAGATAACCAGAATAACAGGCAGGTTTGGCCTTGGAGTACAAAATGAAGCAGGGCACAGGCTGGTAGAATTTTGTCAAGAGAATACGATGGTCATAGCAAACACTCTTTTCCAACAACCCAAGAGACAACTCTACACATGGACATCACCAGACGGTCAACACAGAAATCAGATTGACTATGTGCTCTGCGGGCAAAGATGGAGAAGCTCTATACAGTCAGTAAAAACAAGACCAGGAGCTGACTGTGGCTCAGATCATGAGCTTCTGGTTGGAAAATTTAGGCTTAAATTGAAGAAAGTAGGGAAAAGCACTAAACCCAATTGAATGCAGAATTCCAGAGAAAAGCTAGAAGAGATAAGAATGCCTTCTTAAATGAACAGTGCAAAGAAATAGAAGAAAACAATAGAATAGGGAGGACCAGAGATCTCTTGAAGGGAAGGAAAATTGAAGGGAATGTTTCCTGCAAAGATGGGCATGATAAAGGACCAAAATGGCAGGGACCTAACAGAGGCAGAAGAGATTAAGAAGAGGTGGCAAGATTACACAGAAGAACTATGTAAGAAAGAGCTTAACATCCCTGATAACCACGATGGGGTAGTCACTGGCCTCGAGCCAGACATCCTGGAACGTGAAGTCAAATGGGCCTTAGGAAGTCTGAGCAACAAGCTAGTGGAGGTGACAGTATTCCAGCTGAGCTATTCAAAATCTTAAAAGACAATGCAGTAAAAGTGCTACACTCAATATGCCAGCAAACTTGGAAAACTCAACAGTGACCACAGGATTGGAAAAGGTCAGTTTACATTCCCATCCCAAAGAAGGGCAATGCCAAAGAATATTCAGACTACCACACCATTGCACTCATTTCACATGCTAGCAAAGTTATGCTCAAAATTCTACAAGCTAGGCTTCAGCAGTATGTGGACTGAGAATTACCAGAAGTACAGGCAGGATTTTGAAGAAAGGAACTAGAGATCAAATTGCCAACATATGCTGGATCATGGAGAAAGCTAGGGAATTCCAGAAAAACATCTACTTCTGCTTCACTGACTATGCTAAAGACTTTGATTGTGTGGATCACAACAAACTGTGTCAAGTTCTTAAAGAGATGGGAGTACCAGACCATCTGATTTGTCTCTTGAGAAACTTATATGCAGGTCAAGAAGCAACAGTGAGAACTGGACATGGAACTACTGATTGGTTCAAAGTTGAGAAAGGAGTTCGGCAACGCTGTATACTGTCGCCCTGCCTATTTAACTTATATGCAGAGCACATCATGAAAAAGGCGAGCCTAGATGAATCACCAGTTGGAATTAAGATTGCTGGGAGAAATATCAACAACCTCAGATATGCAGATGATACCACTCTAATGGCAGAAAGTGAAGAGGAACTAAAGAGCCTCTTGATGCAGGTGAAGGAGGAGAGCACAAAAGTTGGCTTGAAACTCAACATTAAGAAAACTAAGAGCATGGCATCTGGTCCTCTCACTTCCTGGCAAATAGATGGGGAAGAAATGGAGGTAGAGACAGATTTTATTTTCCTGGGCTCGAAGATCACCGCAGATGGGGACCGCAGCCAAGAAATTAAAAGATGCTTGCTCCTGGGGAGGAAAGCTATGGCAAATCTAGACAGCATACTAAAAAGCAGGGACATCACCCTGCCAACAAAAGTGCATATAGTCAAGGCTATGGTTTTCCCAGTTGCAATGTATGGCTGTGAAAGTTGGACCATAAGGAAGGCTGAGCGCCGAAGAATTGAGGTCTTTGAATTGTGGTGCTGGAGGAGACTCCTGTGAGTCCCTTGGACCGCAAGGCGATCAAACCAGTCAGTCCTAGAGGAGATCAATCCTGACTGCTCTTTAGAAGGCCAGATCCTGAAGATGAAACTCAAATACTTTGGCCACCTAATGTGAAGGAAGGACTCCCTGGAGAAGAGCCCAGTGCTGGGAACAATTGAGGGCAAAAGAAGAAGGGGACAGCAGAGAATGAGGTGGCTAGAAGGAGTCACTGAAGCAGTTGGTGTGAGCTTAAGTGGACTCTGGGGGATGGTGGAGGACAGGAATGTTGTCCATGGGGTCACGATGGGTCGGACACGACTTCGTGACTAACAACAAGCATTATGGAATTAATATTTCATTGAGGCACTGAGAACTTACAGCTGCCTGTTTTGTGAACTGGCACTGAGTCCCACTCTGGTGGTGGAGAGTCTTTTTCTCCTTCTGAGCTGCTGGTATTTCCTAGCTCTTGACCAGAGCCACTGGAGAAGAACTTTGCTAATGTCGATGGCCTACTCTCCATCAGTTTTGTGTTTATACCTACAGAGAAAGAAATAAGTGGTCAGTCTATTGTTAATAAAGTAGGAACTTAAGTCTTGCCAGTAAGGAACCACAAAGACAAATTAAGTTTCAAAGTCTACATTAATCAATAACTGAACTGTCAAAACTTACCTTTTGTTTTCTGAATGTTTCTTGGTTTGAACCCATTTGTGAATGTATGCTGGGCAGAGAGCTTGGAGGAAAAACTTTTGTGTGGCTTAATTTCCAGTGATGAAGGACATGACATCTCAAAAGAACTAAAATAGAAATATGGGCACAAAAGGTAACTTTTGTAGGAGTTCGTCTACTGAAATAAGATCTTGCATGCATAAAGTGCATAGCTCATAAACAGCTTTCTTGACCTGCCTCAATATGACTCCCTTAGTCTTAAGTGTCAGTGTTTCCTTGACTATCTTGCCATCAAGAGGCCCCAACTGTGCAAAATTATCCATAATTACAAACCCTCTTTCAACACTTTTGCAACCCCTGGCACATTTCTCTCAGCTGCCTGACACTTGGGTCTAAAGACAAGGCTTCTGCTGACAGGCAATTCTATATAATAATTTATTCTGTTTAGTCACTTTATATCTAGAAATATTCTCAAAAGAGTTCAGAAAATCAGACATTGTAATAAATATACTCATCGATTAAAACATTAGCACCAAAACCTCAAAACATAACAAGTAGGGTAGCAAAGCCAGAGCATGCTCTTCCCCTGCCACCTCTTTAGTTGGGGAGGGTGGTGCTATCACTGTGCTATGCTTACCTAGGTTTCACATCTGTTGGGATTTCTTTCTTGATAACTGATACCTTTTTGTTTTTCTGTTTTCCTGGTATTTCATTTTCCTGTTTTTCTGGCATTGGCTGTTTTCCCTTTTGCTTTTCTGGCTCCTACAAGTAGAAAACCAAACCAAACCCCAAGAAAAGTATTAAGCAAATTCACTCTTTAAGAACATAATTTTGAAAATGAAACACTAGTAACAATATGAATATACAGATGAACTTCCCTGTCCAATCTTTCTCACAAAAATGACCTGAATTCTAATAAGATCACAGTGTTATCTAGAATTAGTTCAACAGGTTGCTTAGCTTCTTTTTTAAATGAAATGCTTGGCCTATAATTTCATGAAATCTATATTGACCATGATGTAATTTTAGACCACTTGTCAGATGCATCAGAAGGAACTATCTTATGCCAGCTGTGGTATTTCCTGCAGGGTACATCTGGAAAGAGGAGCTGACATAGACTGAACATCTTTGTTGCTGGCTTACGGTTCTCAAACTTCTATTTACATGAACCTTCTGGATGAGGTTTGTGGGTATGATAGTATCACTATGGTGAATAGAACCAAGTTGTTCTCTTTCCATCAGATTTCAAGGACACAGTGGAGGTCCCAATAATGTGACTAAAGTAAATGATGAACTACTGTAGGTTATCAAGCAGAAACTAAGCTCAAATGAGATAGAGATGTGTTTGGTGAGCCGGTGAGCTATCTGGTAGTTGATGTATAATCAGTTTCCTAGAAGATGAAGTTTTCAGTTTGAGTGGTCCTATACACTATGCTGCACCTAAGTAGCCAGCTAGCAACTGTCACCAGAAATGCTTCAGTATGCTACTTGCACGCTTTCCAAGAGAAGGCATATTCTGCAGTTACTATACCCACCCTGATTATGCACAGATTGGAGTGGGCAGTGTGCTGTAGATGAAACTGCTTTTTAAAAGCATACAGAAACATTAGTTAGTTCAAAATGAAGCTATTCCAGGACTGGGTGGGGCCTAATATTCAGAACATGGAACTCTACTGGATCATGATTATTTCCAAGCCCTATGCAATGTCCTGGTTACTACTTTTATTTAAGTCCTAAATGGTTTGGAACCTGATAGTCAAGAGCATCTACTCCCACATGACCCTTTTTGTTTTATACCCCATTCCTATAGAGATGTCTGGTATGTGGGACAAGACCTTTTCACCCAACTGTGAATTCCCTGCCCTAAGAGGCTTAATTGGTTTCTTGTTGTTTCTATGTTTAGTAAACACAGTATTAATTTACACACTAGGTAATACTTTCTCTTATTGCACTGCATTCATTTTTTTGTCTCAACTTAAATTTTAATTTGTTTTGTCACTGAATCTTTAAGCAATTGCTGAGCTGTCTTCTGGGGAAGAACAAGTTGCAAATAAATAAATATTGCAGTAGATTTCAGGTATATAATCAGGCAGGCACTTAAGAATGCATGAAAAAACATTCTGGAGTAGACCAAAGGTCTATCTAGTTCACCATTCTGTTCTCACAGTGCTCAGACAGATGCCTAAAGAAAGCCCTCACATAGACACAAGCACAATCATAGCAGCCCCTTTCATCTTCCTCAGGAACTGGCATACTAATATGTACAGCATGAAGAAGTACTTCCTTTACTGAGTAACTCATATGGTATTAACATACTATGTGAACAGCAGCAGCAGCAACATTAGCAGTTACTTTTAGAGATCTATTACACAAAACTCTTATCTTCTGCTTCCTTCTATACAGGATACTCTCAAGCCCCACTTCCCTTTACAGTTCTCTACCTCTTTCAGAAGTGCCTCTGTATCTGGGTTGGAAGTTTCTGTGGTAGTTGAAGAACTGTCATCATCTGCTAGAGAGTCTTTCAGTTCATCCTCTGGCTGCTTTCCCTTTCCTCTTCGATCTTTTTCTTCCCGCTTCTTTTGGGGCTTAGATTTGCGTGGAAATTGTTTTCCTTTCCCTGGGGTGATACAGGAAGCTTCTAATTAGTGAATAATATTCTTTTATAATTGTGATTTTCCTGGGACACACCTATTAGGAGCATTGCCTACCTGAACTGTGTTGAATGATAGGAGTTGCTCCAGAACAAGTCAGTGGAGCTCATGCAGGAGCTGTACCTCCTTCCTCACACAAGATTCAGTCCGAGTACAACTTTCTCATTTCATAGTACTCTAAAGTACTGTGTACATTACACCACAGTATGCTACACCACTCCTAAAGAAACCTGACCTGCATGATGTGAAAAATTTTAGACCAACAGCCAATATCCCCTTCCTGGGCAAGGTGATCAAGTAAGTGGGTGGTGGGCTGGCAGTTCCAGGCATTTTTGCAGGATTCATTTCAATCAGGTTTTCAGCCTGGGTTTGGGACAAAGACTGCCTTGGTCACCCTGTGAGATGACATTTGCTGGGAGAGAGGCAGGGGGAATGCGGCCCTGTTGATTTTCTCTACAGCTTTTGATACCATTGACCATGGTATCCTTCTGGAGATGCTGGACTGGGATTAGGGGGTACCACCTTGCAGTGGTTCTGCTCCTACTTGGCTAACTGGTTCCAGATGGTGGCACTGGGGGACTGTTGTTCTGTGCCATGGTGAATCATGGAGTTCTGCAGGGTTCGATTCTTTCCCCCATGCTTTTTAACATCTACATGAAACCACTGGGTGAAGTCATCTGGAGGTGTGGTCTGAGGTGTCACCAGCATGTTGATGCCACCCAGTTCAACCTTGCTTTTCCATTTGACCCAGGTGAGGCAGTGACTGTCTTGGACTGGTGCCTGAATTTAACTAATGGGTTGGAAGAAGGGCAATAAACTGAAGCTGAATCCAGACAAAACAAAGGTGTTGTTGGTGGGCACTCCAACTAGGAAATTTTCAACCTACCTTGGGTGGGGATGCACTCCCTCAAAGGATAAGGTTCATAGCTTAGGGGTGCTCCTGGGCCCTGAGCTCTCCCAGGTTTCCCAGGTGGGCTTTGAAAGGCCATTCCTAGGAGAATCATGTAGCCTGGCCCTACCCAATCTGGTTTTATCCAGATGTTTTGGAGTGCCATTCAAAATGTGTAATGCTTGGACTACCAGTTCTGGGAAGCAGTAATGGAGCTGAAGTTTAAAACATCTAAAGAGCAGCAGGTTGGAGAAGGCTGCTATTAATATTTTACTATATATATTAACTGAAAGCACTGGCTGGGGAAATTGATCATGCAATTGGATTTAGGAAAGGCAACAGGTTTTTAGGATCACAAGAGTGTTCCCATAATTCAAGCTATCATGCACACTGGATTCAGCATGAAGATGCTATTGTTGATTCCCCATATACTTGTTTCCTCTTTGCAAGTACAGATATACAAACTGTTCCAAAGATACTAGTTCAGATCTTGAGTTTTCTCAGAGGATGAGAGGTGACATCACTGGGCTGACTGTAAGGGTAACTGACATCTTCCTTGCTCTGGCAAATGAGGTGATAATAAGGGCTGCAACATTTTCCTATTGTTTGCGATAGATTAGTATAAAAGAAGTCAGAGAAGAGAACAAATAAATAAGCAGAGGACAGATAAGTCTTTCCATTCTTTGACTTCTTATTCCACTCTAGGGGTTTAATTGATAGCACACATTTGAAGTATTTCTTGCCTTTCTACTTAACAACGAAAGGTTGTATTTGAACACAGTTCTTTTTTTAGAGCTCCTTTTCTTAACAAGCTGAACTCCAGCAGAAAAAAGCAAGAACCATCAAGCACTTGCTTCTCCCAGAGACCTCAGAGAGCAAGCACACATGAGTATTCTGCACAATCACAATGAGTTCCTGTACTTTAGAATGTACCATTACACTGTTGGAAGGAACATGGCCATAATCCAACCAGATGCCTCTGTGCCTGCAAATTTTCTTATAGTCCACCAATTCTGCCATGGAAATGGTCTCTACCAATTATACATTGGAAATTTAGCATTACTGGAAGAATTCTAAATATAAATGCTCATTTCTGAAAAGAAACATGTTGGCTTTAGAAATGAGATTTGTTCCTGCTTTGGGACCAGTTGCAGGAAGTGTTAAATCGCTTAGCACTTCCTAGAAAGAGAACATCTCTTTACTCAGCAATTTCTCTCCCTAAGAAAGAACTTTATATGCACACATTTCTTTGTAAAAAAGAGTTAATCTGGTGAAGCAGGAATGTATTACCTTTGCTTTTTGCTACTGGAGATGGGGGTTGCTCTGTAAACAAATCTGGGGAAGGGGATTCTGGATGATCAAAGTCTTTGTCCATGGTTTCTATAAGCGTAGCAATGTCTGAGTCTTCAGAGCTGTGCCTTGTGTTACCAGCACATTCTGAATGTGAAGCAGCAAGATGCTGTGACTGTGGCAGGGAATTTTCATTCTGCTGCTCTTGTTGTTGAGGCACTGCTGGTGGTTGTGATAAGTGCTCCTCCAGTAATACTGGAGCATGCTGCTGGTTTGGTTGAAGATTTTGCTTTGCACCCCTGGACTTTCTGCCTACTGCATGATTCTGAGTTGCACCACTTGAATCCAGGAAGAGGGAACCTGTTCTGTTAGTTGACTGTGCAGAACCTGCCTGCATGGAAGTCCTACTGGAAATACTTGAACTGTTTTTAAGCTTCACATTCTCAACTTCAACTGAATTTCTGTTGCTGTGCAGGTTTATTGTAGAGTTGCATTGCCTGTGACTTGCTGCACTGGATCGTGATGAACTTCCTGGTCCATAGATTCCTCTGGAAGAGCTGTGATTAGAATCAGATCCAAGTGCATTCAAGCTGAAAATAATGGGAGAAAATACATTTAAGGCTTGCAGGCCTAATATTTAAGATCTAGCTAGTTACACAGTTGCCAATCCATTAAACAAAACACATTGGTAGTTTTGTTTTTAAGTAGTAATTAAGATGGATTTAACATAGTAAAAAACTTGCGTTAGAAGGCATAATGTTTAAATTGGGCCTCAAAGATTGTAACAGGAAGGTTAAAGCAGAATACATCAGTTCTTATAATCAAATAGCAGCTCATTAGTACAAAGACCAAGTTAACAAAAATTAAGTTCAGTCCCATTTCAAAACATGTGAAATAATTTGCACACTGCTTCATTCAGGCATCCTTCCTGGACCTATTTTCCCTTTTCTATATATGTATTTTATAACCAATATCTTTTCTTCCATCAAGGTAACATTATGCAGTACATTTTACAGAATTATGCAGTTATTCAACAGCTGCTTTCATACATTTCTAACTGTATTATACTCAAGAATGCAATAAATGTGAACCCTATCAAAGAACAGCATATTTACAAACAAATTTTGGTTTTTGCATATTGCAATATATATGCCTGCATACCAATTAGCAATTCTCATGTTATTTCCTACTCAAACTGTTCCAGAGTTCAAAAAGTAATGTAAGAAGCAATTCTACTATTTATTTACTCATTTAGTGTAAGAAACAATTTTTTTTAAAAAGTCATGCATTTGTAATTGATGTTCTAGTTTTAAACTGAGTAACTCTTCATTCTCGTGTATTTGAGTGGATAAAATTGTACAGAGCAGTCATTTAAAATTCTATAGACATTTTTGCTCCATTTGTGGTCTGTTCAAATTATTGTAACCATAGCAGGTTCCTTTATAAATCAGTCTATACTGGTGAAAAATGCTACTCTGAAAATATGCAGTTCAGTAAAGGCTTACCTTCCATCTGATGAAATTCCAACTATTCTCCTGAGATCAAATGGTCTTCCCATATCAAAGGGAGGATTGGATGCCTCATAGGACAGACGTCTTCTGAATGGCTCCCATATTCCTTGAGCTTCTAAATAGGCTGTTCCAATTACCAAAAGGAAGAGCACACTGTAAAAGACAAACATCAGAGATTTTACCATTTCAGCACTGAAGAACTGAAGATACAAACAATCCCATCTCTTACTGCCAAATCGAGAATAACACAACCATCTATGAAGATCACAAAAACCTATCATGGTGGAAAAGAGATAAGTAAAGTTTCCATGCTACACAATTAATATTGGCATATCCACCTATTATTAGATACGTAAATTTAAAATTTAGAAAAACAAGCTTAGACACAGTTTTTCAAAAATTAGAATTAAATATGGTAGAAAAAACCAGTATCACAAATGTAACTTCTGAATTATTAGGCCTACTGTACTGGCACACTGCCTAGAAACTTGCTTTCCTAAAAGAGGGGATTCCCAGCAGAGAAAGTGTTCTCTATCAGCAAGCAGAGCCTAATTTAGATGCTGTTTCTCTCAGAAGCTTCCCAGTTAAATGTGTTGTCTGAAATAGGGTACTGCAGTAAGAAACTGAATTTCCCACTGAATCTTGTTTCAACTGAATCCTAGAACAATTGTAAAAATTTGTAAAGTTATAAACTGTCTAACTCAATTTCTCTGTAAGATCAGCTACTATTTGCCTCCATGCTTGATATATGCACACTCAACATGTATTATGATCGCTACTGAAATATCTTAAGTCGCAACTGGAAACAAATATTCATGTTCATTAGAAATTTAGTATTCTTTAGTCATTACGATTCAGAGTTGGTTATTGTGCAACAGGAGCTAATGACTTCAAATAAAACGGAAACTTTCATTACTGCAACTGCTGTTTTCTACTGGTTTGTTTTGAGGGGAGGGGGGCACATCAGCAAGTGCAGTTATACAGAATCAATGTATCTAGAAGATCTGAAAACCGAGCAGTGTCCTATGGATGGTTAGCATCTATTTCCAAGTTAATATTGCACTAGATACCTGCTTCAGTTTTCAGAATGACAGCTGAAAAAAATACTTACTTCTCTGTATATTATGATTGTTACTACTAGAGGAGGAATAACAAGTACTATCCTTCACAAAAGATGCCTTGAGTTCAAAAGGGGCTCGGATTATGGGGCTCAGAAAGAGCAGCATATCATACAGATATAAACAAGCCAATAGAAAAATGCACATTACCTCATTATTCCTGAGACTACTATGTATAGTGCCAGCTCCCAGTTGGGTCTGGGCAAGGCTTCTGCACATGTTGCTAACATATGATAGGGAAGGGATGCATTTAATACAAATATAAATTCAGAGCCTCCTTCTGTGGTTAGCTTCAGCTCACGAACAACTCTGGAAGTAGTGAAATCTGGTGTAAACCTGTTAAGAGTAAGGAAAGACTATTATAATTATCCAGGATTTAACATATACACCAATAAGTTGTTTCAATTCTGATGTTATTGACTTCCTATAGTCATCCTAGACCTCAAAATTACCTTCCATGGTTAGATAACAATCAAACAGGGATTTGTGGTAATATTAGGTATTGTTGGAATTTGAGTTAAAGTACTGATGCATAGGTCTTCAAAAATGGAGTCCTCCATATTAATTTTTGATTTCAACACATTCCATATATCAAGACCATTTTGAATTAAATCAGACCTCAATGAGTTTAGAGGTTAGCTTGAACTGGGGATGTTTTAGTAGCCACTATCATTTCCCTCCCACTGAAATAAACACTGGCTCATGTCAGGCTATCCAATATGAAGTGATATGCTCAAGAATTGTCCAACCAAGAACCCATCCTGGTTCTTTCTAGGACCTACTAAACTAAAGGACCTATAAAGCACCTAGTTGCTCCTGTCACCACTATTTAAGTTTGGGGAAAGGAAAGGGATAGTGATGGTCTATGATAGCAGAGCCTCTAAACCCAATCCTGTTCCCAATAAGAAAAAAGAAAGCATTTTATTTAAATTGATTTTGAAAACTAACAGTTTATTCAAACCCATTTTGAATCAGGCTGTGACAAGGCTCACTCACTACAGGGTTCAACTGAGTATTTCAGTTATGGGAAATTAGCCCATAAAATGAATGTTTATCACTTCATGACTACCATCCAAAATACAAACACTGAATCAACACACTGCAATAAGAAAGACTTGATGACCATGCTTGATGCACCCACAAATTACCATAGTGCATATGCAGTAAATTATCATTGTCAAAGGAAAACATTCCATTATCATCAATAGACATTGATGACAAAAGTGAACTTACAATATGACTATGTCTTTAGAGGCATTGGCACTTAGTGCAAATTCTTGACAATTAACTACTTTAAATCCATATCCTTCACATAAATAGCCACTGATTTCCATGGATTTTATTTTAACTTGAAGCTGCCCAGTGTTCTCCACTTTGAATGTTCTTTTCAGTGTAAAATTTGGTTCCTTTAATTTAGTTTCTGGAGGAGGAAAAAAACAGTTCAGATTAAATTAATACAATATAATTATTACTGAAGCAAAGTGAGGCATCTGAATACAATTCCACTTGTTTTTAATAAAGCCATTATGATTACTTTCACTTTCTCATTCTTTTAAAAAACTGAAATAAGGTAGATTGTCTTCCTTCACTCTCACATGTTCTTGCATGGGGTTTGATACTTGGCTTCAACATAACTTTCATCACAGAATACTCACTTTCAGTACAGTCTTTTAGTAATGCTTCAGTGATTTTAAAGCGTAAAGAACTTCCTAGTCCAGGTGGTTTCCCTGCAACTCTCACACTCTCAGTAGTTCCTTGTCCTTTAACCATTACAGCATCTATTACGGTTAAATTATTTCTACAGAGAAACAAAATTGAAGGAATCATTATGAAGTTATAAAGACATTTTAACTGTATTTTCTTACCCTGATCAGGAAATATAAACTCGATCCTAAATTGTTACAAGCAGTGCTACTTTGGATAAAAGTTATGACACTAATTTCCTGAAGTCAATAAAATTAAAACAATTATGCATGAGCTATGGAGTTTAAGGCCAAAGAAATACATAAGATTTTATTTTGCTAAGTATCCAGAATATTAGCATGTGCTGTAGAACAAGTCCACTTCTGGAACGTCTATGATAGTCTCAAAACAATTTGTGATACTACACTGGAGTCTGCAGTTCCAAGAAATTACCTTTCCAAGGATTACATGGATTATTATTAAAGCACAAATTATACTTTCACATGGGGCCACATATTCACCCATGGAATTTTGTCCAATAAGGTGCTTCAGGAAAAGTGCCACAATTATGCAAATCAATGTGGCCATACATCCAGTTAAAATGTGGGTGTAGCTGTCCACACAATTTTGTCCTCCACACAATAATAAAGTACAATATAATTTAATATAATCTTAGCTGAACTAAAATTCTGCCTTTGGCTTCACTGACTCACAGAGATGATCTTGAGGCTGGGTAGATAGAATTAGCATTTGTGATACAGCAGCACCTCAATATTACTGTGAGGATAGCCAGCTATATGAATGGGCCTTGTCTCATATGCATGGATATATATTTATACATAACATAATATTTTACAGAATTTAATTCATTTCCACAAATCACTACAGGTCACCTTGAAAGCTACCAGTTAACATGCATTGTAGACACTTGGAAAAGTGTAGCTCAAAATTTAGATCAGATATCCTCATTAGTTCAGAAGAAATACTGTACCTGATAATTATCAATGATGAAACTGTTTTATTAAGAACTGGTGTAAATTTGACTTTGACAGATTTTCTCTCACCAGGCTTTAAAATTACATTTAGAACTGATTGCCGAGAAAACCCCTCTGCAAATCCTGTGGAGCTCTGTAATGCTTGTCCCTTGAAAGAGGGAAACAAAACAAATTTGTATAATTTTCACATTTCTAGACTGTCAAATGTTGTATATTTAAAATATAGTACAATCTGTGCACATGACACAGCTAATAGAGCAAGAGACAAGACGCTTCCTAAAGGAGCTTAGCAAACTAAATTTAGATGGCAAGGGAGCAGAAAGGAAAGCCTTCCCGTTCTGCTGTGCTCTGCCTTCCAAATGTGGTACATAAACTAGTAGAATGATGTTTTTCTTTAAAAGATCATGCCTACTAGTGGATGGAGTACTGGAAAGATCACTAGAAAGCAGCACAAGAGGATTTGCTACTTGAGAAGCAAACGTCTTTTCAATGTGGTAAGAGTTTAAATACAAAAGCAATAGAGACAGGCCCCCACCCTGATTATATACCTGAGAAATGTTAGAATACAACATAAGCAATTCCAAACCCTACAAAGCTCCATTCAACATTTAGTAGTGGTATTAGCAACACTGGCTTGTTCAGAAGTTACATTAAACAGTGATTCAGCATCAGCAGAACTAAGTCTTCTCTCTGCATGGTCCATTAAATAAATTATTTTAATTTTTTTTTAGTACAGACCATTAATTTACTTGTATGAATGTAATAACTATACTTTATCTTTTCTTTAAACCAAGATGAAAGCCATGGTTTGAAAATGGGGCAAATCACAGGGGGTGGATCAGAATTTATGCTCTAAGAAAATAAGGGCCCCTTTTACTGCTCTCACCCAACAAAGGGATACTGATGGTGGGACACAAGTGATGCGACTTTTTCACATGTCCTTCCTCCTTGGAGCCACCTGTACCCTTCAAATTCTTCTTTAATGTGTTTCTGAATTCTTTATTCAACTGTGTTTTACAGATTTGGATACAATGGCAAATCTGGAGTTAAAGAAGACTAATATATGCACATGGGAAATAGATTATATGAGCACAAAGTTTGTTCATGTAACATTAACAGTGAATTAGTCCATTGTATGTGCACCACTTTCTCTGATAAGGAAAATCTAAAAAAAAAAGTAGCAGTTCCTTCCCTGCTAGCTTTTCTTAGCCAAGAGGGACAAGGATCCAGTACAGTTTTAGTGACATGAACTTGTCCAATCACTTTGTCAACAACCTAACTGGAACTCATCCAAAGAGAGTTGACAAGACTGTGCTCTGGAGATCTCTTTTGATTTCACTGCAACAACATTGGAATCTAAGTCTTGGTGAATACAAGCAATTTGTTCTCTGTATTCCAGAGTTCAACCAGGGATGTGATAGGTCCACCAGCCGTATCAGTCAGAAAGTCCCTTAGAGCCCTCTGGAAACCACCTGGATCCATCAGCCTCCAGGGCTGGACCAGCTTAACGGGTTCTCCCGGCAGAGGAGAACAGCCTCCATTACTCAGAATCTCAACAGGCATGACAAAGTGCACCACCTTCATATCACTATTGCCATATCCAGCTGAAAATAACAGAACTAGGGTGTGCTCTGCTACATGTGCTGGTTTGATAACATGTTGGGACAGCCCCGTGGTTGTCATGAAGTTCATCAAATCCTGACCTGCCCCTGACAGGACCAGCAGTCTGGGGGGACCTCAACATCACGGCTAAAACAAGCTCTATCAGCTCAGGTAGGGAGAGTGCTGGGTCACAAGGTGGACAGAATTTTCATTCTGTCCCACTTGCCTAGCACAAGATGCACTCTAGATTAGGAGTCAGATGAAGAGGGAGCCTGGAGAGAGAGTGTGTGTTCTTATATACCAGCACTTCAGTCTTCCTTGATGCTGTACCAAGCTTGTTCTTCCCTATGACAAGATTATGAATACTTTTAATATTGCGATCCTTTGTTATCTGTACGAAATTGTAAGACACATCTATATTATTCCAACATTACAGATGTGGGGTTCAGACAGTGGCTTGTCTCAGGATATAGAATGGCTTCAAGGTATAACTGAGACTTGAACAAGGGACCACAAGCTCACACTTCTAACCCTCATGCTACACCAGCTAAAAGATTAAAATCTGGATCAAACAAATCTAAATTTAAGGGTGGTGGTGAGAAGAGTTACTTACACAGTTTCTGGAGACCTGAAATTCTAGGGTCCTCAAATTGAAGTTTGCTGCCTTACTAAAATTAAACCTAGATGAGGAACACATCATTACGTCATTTATAACTTCAGGGATTTTTTAAAAATATATGTCATTGAATAAATAAGCTGCATGATAATTTAATTGCTCTTCTCTATGACAAGGTTATGAATGTTTTAAATATTGCTACTCTCAGTTACTTATAAGATAAGCCTATGTTATCCCAACATTACAGATGAGGGCTCAGATAGTGGCTTGCTTTAGCTATCTAGGTGGAACTGGGACTTGAAAATGGACCCCAGGCTCATGTTTCTAGCCACTACTGGAGTGGCATTGGTCTTTTGGAATTACTTTTGCTTTTGGAAAAAAAAAAAAAATTCTGTTATCATGCAAAACTCCTATTATACCTGTAATAGCAGTTTGTAACTACAACCCCTATGCTAACTGTAACACTAGATATTATAAAGATGACTGAATCCAAGACTGACACTATTTTATTTATTTATTAATTTAAAACTTTTATATGCCGTACCTTATGCATAGCATCTCAGGACAGCTTACTATCATTAAAATCAAAATACGGTAAAACAATCCAGTATAATATAACCAGTAAAATAAATTAAATCAAAAGTGACTGTTAAAACATTAAGATATTAACTTTTAAAATAGCAATTGGATAAAAAGGTTTTGACCTGGCACCGCAAATAATATTAGCTTGGGGCCAGGTGAACCTCTCTGAGCAGCGCATTCCACAATCTGGGCACCACCACAGAGAAGGCCCTACTCCGAGCAGACATCCTTTCAAATACAAATACAAATTTGCGATATTGAAAGGAATCCTATTCTAAAAACAAGTGAATGCAATGCAGATGATGGACCCCAAACACAACTCTAAGTGAACTTCTTGTAAGTTTGTCTTCTTATCACTACTTACCGGTCTATTAGCTTATCTGCGAAGACCGATGGATTGGAAAACAGTGCTATGGGAAGTAGCTGAGCAAAAACAGTAACATCTGCTGGGTTTTCTAGAAGAATATCTTCCTCCTGAGGGAACAAATTTGAATTCAGATTTATTGTCCCAAAGTAGAAAATGTAGCTGACATTTAAATATTAAGTTTTGTTTTGTTAGTGGTACATTAACACTGTCAGGACTCACAGAAGAACTGTTTGTGTTGGTAAGTGAGAAATCCAAATGGCGCAAAGGACTGAGTAAAGAGGGCCAGGTCAATTCTGCTGTGACTTTGGATGTGACTGCCTTCTGAAGATCTGTGTCCACTTCAAATACAGCACTTAATCTAGATAAGCAATGTAATTTAGCAGTAAGAAAAAGTGTTAGAGCATTAAAATATTACCATTTCATGGGACTAACATTCATGTAAGAGTTACAGTTCACCAATTTCACAATTTTACATTATAAGCATTTAAAAATAATTTATACATGTCACATTTGGCATTGGCTTTATCTTGGAGACAGTGTGACAAGGGAGAGGGACACAATATTCAGAAAAGCATAGAAAAGACATTATGGAAGAATTTTACATGCAGCTGGAGTATGGAAACTGATAGGCTTGAGTTTACAGTAATCATGGGGTAATACATATAGAAGTTATTTGATTGATTAGAGAACTGTTCATACAGTCACAGTAAGCAGAAGCAGTGCGTACAGGTATGAACAAGGACACCAACAGTGGCTTTCCAGGTCCTACTAAACCCTGGTTGCAAATGATTGCACATTATGGGTCCAGAGACATGGCCTACAAATCTTTATGAACTTAATATGCCACAGTCTAGACATCTATGGAAGCACTTCCAAGGTATATTTCAACATGCTGAAACCAAGCTCTTTACTAGTTTACTACCTGTATTTAGAAAGGTTTTCTTCTCTATTTTTTACCTGGTTCAGATGACATGGCAAGCTCCCCGTCTCAAGTGGCATCTCCCCTGTCCTCCCCATTGCACTTCAGGACAAAAGATTTGTTTTATTCTTCTTTGTCCCCAGAGTGCAAACAGAACCTCTTCCTGGAGGTGCAACGAGTTCCAGCCTCAGATGGGTCAATGTGCAGAGGGCTGCCTGCTCCAAGGGGCTGCTCACTGCAAGGTGGGGACAAAGGCTGGAAGCTCAAGTCACTGCACTAAATGGACTCTCAACAGCCACACAACTGTGGCTGTCAGAAAGAGGAGATTCATTCTTCCCTGCAGTGTCCCCTGGGATACTGCCTGGAATAATGAGGGAGTGAAGTACTGAGAAAAAGCTAAATCATCTGTAGTGCTCATTATGGGTTCTTTGCAAAACAACCAATCCACTGTGGCTTACAGGCACAATGGGTTGCGGTGTTGTGTGAACTCAGCCAATGGCAATTACAATACATTTACTATTTTAATAAGCAGCTGAGATTCCTTAAAGATCATTAGTTAACTAGAAAGCTATTAAATTTGAAAATAAACTCACTGATTGCCCGAGTGTTCTCTTATGTCAATCCATTCTCTGAATAAATTATCATGCAAATCCCAATCAGAATCCCATGCATCTTCTTGCATGTATATACTGTGCTGTAATTTTGATTCAGCTAGAAGAGAGAAACACAACTTAATCCAAGTATCTTGAATATTTAAAATTCTATGCGCTTGTAACTCTAGCAATTAAAATTACTTACATTTAGCCAGAAAGGGCAATCCCACATAACAGTGATTTCCACATTGTAAACCAGGGTCAAAATAAATATTTGCAATCTGAAAAAGCAAGCAGCAACATGATAGAAACATCTTGAACAGAACACATGCCTCTTGAGAGTACATAAATATGGATTAAATGCCACTTTTCCACTGAAGTATGCCCTATTCCTCTGAAGTATGCAGGAAATAAATGTCTAATTAGGAGACAGAGAGAGAGACAGAGAGAGAGACAGAGAGAGAGAGAGCGCGCCACACAACAGGACACTTTGAGAGCAAGTCAGAAGCAGCCAGATATCTAGCACTCCTTGTTCACAACATGGTCCCCAAAGTATCCCTCAATTATGCTAGAGTCCTGGACTTGGTGTAATTACCAACAAAAGGAGAATTATAAAGCTGAGTAGGGAAGGCCAAGTCCATAAAAACTCGCCTCCTCCTTTGGCCAGCATGGGGAATGATGATAGCTCTGCCAGGAAATTCTACCCCCTCCACACCCCAGGATTGCTCAGCCCATTTCCAAACCTTGGATTTTTTTCCTGGCTCCAGATCTTCCTTGTTACTTCGTAATCTCTTGTAATAAAACCGAACATCTTCTGACAGTGAGCGTATCTGCTGTATTTTTACCTTCTGTGAGAAAGAGCTCATAATACTCAAACTCTGATGAACTGTCTTGCCCTAAAAAGGAAGTACATACTGAGTTCTTGACTGTATATATTCTTGTGACCATGATGACAAAGGTCCAACTGAAGTTTTGAATTGTGTTGTCTTTTTAGGGACATCTACAGCACAGTACTTTCCTCCAACCTTCTTAGACATTTCTAACATAGATATGTGTATAATGCTGTTCTAAATGATTATAAATTAATAAAATTTTCTTGCAAATGCTCACCAAACTAACAATTTTCTACTGCTAAAAATTGATCAGAGAAAAGTGAATGCTGAACACACCAAAAGTTTCAAGAATGATTGAAGGATTATTCCTACCCACTGAAACTATCTTAGCCTTGAAACAGGGATATATTTCATGGCTTTGTCAGTGTTCTGTTTAGGAAAAATGGGGGAAATCCAATAGTGTGTACCACCAATGTAGAGAATGTACACAATCAACAAATGGGATTCTTCCCCCCCCCACTCCCCCCCCCCAAAAGAAACAGCTCTGAATGGTTGCAAGACACATTGAAGATATGTGGGAGAAGAGAGGAAGTCCATGTTGTGAGACTTTGGATACCCTTCACAATAATACCCTTCACAAAGTGTGAAAAAGTGAAATTCAAAAGTGAACCTCTGAAAAGAATTTAAGTATTTTCTAATTGCTATTCAGTAACAGCAACCAGCTCTTTAAATCTGTGCATCAATCTCACATGAAGCTTCCTTCTCAAATGCTGCCTTTTTCATTTTTACTATTAAACAGAAATTGTATAGATAACACAAATATCATTTTAAGTCCCCACACTCAACTGAAATGCAAAAATGAGGGAAGGAAAGACTACAGTGCACAATTATTTCAATTTCTGAATGGGTAGCATTTTGGGAATATCTGGTTTTATTTTCAATGAGTTAAAAATGTTCTGTTCATAATTAAAGTTTATAACACAGATAGAGGACTTAGCAAATTAAAAAGCTGAAGTAACTGCCACATGGTCTCAATTATTATGAAAAGTAAAGCAGAGTAAGAACCAAGGATTTCTTGATACCTTTTTTTTTTCACTGTGAACTGTAGTATAACAAGCAGCCTTCCTCCTCAGGGAGGCAAGCATATCTAATATGCCCATGAATTCAGATATCTGAATGATGTAGTTAATATTTGCTAGTTCTTAGCACTTGGACTGATTCAATCACCCCATACTTAAGTAGCAATAAGAAATGGCTAGGCAATCAATCCAGCCTCTATGAAAATAAACAAGACAATTGGGTTCAAATTGCCTAGGCAGTGATAGCATAAAGCACAATTTCTGATCTAGTGATAATTTGTTTATATGCTTGTGAGTAATTTGTTTATGAACTTTGTTTTCTTTCCCATAACAATAGCCCAAAAATAGAAGGAACTGTTGGCATTTCTTCAAAATAGATCATCTTACTGGAAAGGAAGGTGGAAGAAGAATGTGTTTTGGGGAGCAAGTCAGCGAACCTACAGCAATTACAGCCTTCACAGGAACTGTTAAGATCTGAAGAAAGAAGGAAAAGGAAGCTTAACTAAAATATTCAAATTGACTCATCAAATTTAGATTCTAATTCTGCTACTAGCATATTTCTAAAGATCTTTTTCATTTTGTAAAATATTGTTTTTTTTTTACAATGAACAGAGACTCTAATCTGAAGCCGTCATTGTATTTAGGCAAAAATTCCTCAACATCTCAGAACAAGTATAAAAAAAATAGCCACACTGTAAAAGACAATTACTACTAAGGAAACATGCTGCTTGTTTTCTGTAATCAGATTTATACTCTGAAAGCCAAGTTATAAAGAAACATAGCTGCATTTGCACTTATATTATTCTCAAGCACTATAGTAAGTATTAAATACATTGGCAGATAATATTTAAAATAATTGAGAATTAGTATTACAAGAGCTAAGAGCCAGCTTTTAAAATTGGCTTATTTTCTGCTTCCTTGCTCATGACTTTCAGATTTAGTATTAGAAGTACCTCATAATCTGTTGAGATTTGTATGGCCCCATCATGTATTCCTTCAAGCTCTTTTGGTAATAATCTTACTCTGAATACGGTGTATGAACCAGGCATCAATGTTATCTGTAATGCAGATACACACATTTACTTAATCAACTTTAATTTCACCTTTTTCTGAACTCTAAAAACAGAGTTACCTAAAAGTCACATCATTCTTTTAAAGGGCTTTGTATTGAAATACATAGGTCTAGTTTGCAAGATCATCACAGCTTAAACCATGGTGGTTTGTTTATGCCACTGTGTATGCCTGCTGATACTTGCCTCATCAGTTAAACAGTAAGGCTTCTCAAATTGTCCAAACCCAGGTGAAATGGCTTTCTTGAAGGGAAGACAACCCAACAACATACCATGGATTAATCAGGCAATGGTGGCTGCAGTGCACTGTGATTTGTTAAAGTTGTGTTAACAGGGCAAACTGTGTCATAGAATCAGATTTTGTTTATCATTTGAGTGTAAAATGATCTCCCATCTTTATGATCCAAGACAAACTACAATGGCTTAATGTCTTATGAAAACAGCAGACACATGTCTATATTGTTTGTCTAAACTTGTACTACGGAGCATTAAAAAATGTGTTACTTACTGATGTTTGATCCAAGGAACTAGACTTTTCTAACTCTGGAAGACTTGCAATTATCGTAGTTTTGTTTCCTTTTTCAACAGCTAGAAGTTCTATGGTCAGACCATCACCTATTACATGCCAACTTTTTATAGCCAGCTTGAAAAAGATAGGACAGTTTAATAATAATTGGCATTGCCATTTAAGAAAAATCAAAACTACAATGTGAATGTCTCTTACCTGAATTGGATTGCTGTTGATAATTGCAAACAAAATGCTACTAGTTTCCGTGGCACTTAGTATACCAAAGTCTATTATCTGCTTGTCAGGTTTTGGAGGCAATACAAAATACTAGAAAAACAGAACAGCATTAACACTATTAAAGAAGCTTATAGCTCATATAACAAATACTGCAGGGACTCGGAGGTACTGTCATTTGTTCTAACCTACTGGTTCCTGCCTCCCAGAGCTGATCCTGTACAATATTTGTACAATAACAAACCAGCACTGCGATTCTTGATTTAACACCTGACTCTCAAAACCTATGTTTCTAGTGACAAAAAGTGCTGAAAGAAGCAGTCTGAGATCAAGACGAGAACTACCAGTTCTGAAAAATACATTCCCTTTTCTTTTTCAGTGCTTTTCTGGAACCACAGAGCTATTTTTTTTACTTCACACACTGCAAGTGAGAGTGGGTTGATCCCTCTTGTCACCCTCCAAAGAATGTCCTCACCCTAAACTTCTGATAACTCTGAATAGTTTCTGAACTATCTACCACTTGTTTCTTTTGGGGATTCTAATCTAGTTTGGGTCCAAAGCAACTGAGAGCTTCTTGGATCAAGGTCTATGAAACCACCCTCCACTCTGTCTCCAAACCATCTGAACTGGAATCAAGTTTAATTCAAATTCCGGCTGTGAAAATACTCTGCAGAAATACAAAGAATTCCCATCCAACATATTTTACTTTTTAAAAAGAGCAAGAGGTTTTCAAAGATATACTTACATCTAAAAATCCAGTGTATGCTCTCACAGGTAGATGAAATTTAGAGACATTGGTAATAAGCAAAATATTGCTATCAATGTGAAGAGATGACAAGGAAGCCACAAAATAAAGTGTGAAAATATATCTGGATTCATTTGGTGGAATTAAAACTGGTTTGCTGAAGTTGTGGACCTAGTTTAATAAATATGATCCAAGTTAAGAGTGAAGACAGTTTGCATAAGATTAAATATTAATGAAGTACTGTTTTCATAATTGGACTTACTTTAAATATTGCTTTGATTTCTTCTGGTAGCATTATATCATGAACAAACACTGCAAAATTGAATGTGTTTGTTAAATAGATAGGCCTTTCCACAGAGTCAGCAGGACTGTCACGGATATGAAACAAAGTGGCTGCATGATCAAATCCTAAGTATCTATTCCAAAATAAGAAAATTAAGCTGGAGATTTGCACAAATTTCTATAATAATAACAATATATAACCCCCTTTCCACAAAACTGGTGAGGCTATACACTGCAGAATAACTTCTCTTTCTGGATTGTTTATCCAATGTCATAAACATCTTTGTATGCCTGAAGTAGAGTCAGAGGCTCATTCCTGCTTTTGTCAGTAAGTTCAGATCCACCCAACAGACCACAGATTCCCTCTTTTGCCTCATCAACATACCCTGCTAAAACCAGTAACACAGTTCATCCAAATATGTAGCCACCTCCAGTAATGTTTAAAACAAGAACTGAGAAATAAATCAGAAACCAAACAAAACACCCAGCAATGCAAGAGAGTTACAATCAGCATGTTACATGTGAAAGATGAAATAGTATTAACTTATACTTAAGTTAATATCAGTTAACTTTATGCTGTAAGCCATCCAGAGACATAAGTAATTGGACGGCATACAAATTTTATAAATACATACATACATACATGCATACATACATACTTAGGGCTTTACTTGCTTAAAGCTTAACCCTGCCATTTCCCTTTCTGACACGTGTGGGCAGCAATTTACCACTAACATAATCATCATGTGCCCTAGCACAGCACTGTTTAAATATAAGCACTTGCTATGAATCTGGACCACCCCTCCCCTCAAACTTCCCCTCAATCTGTAGCTCTGTATACAGGAGACAAAACACAAAAGCCATATGCAGTTCATACAACAGCCTTATGCTGAACAATAACATTTTCATTTGACAGCATTTCTACTGCTACAGGCAGCTATGGAAGTGTCTAGTTACATGTCTACAGAAATTATATGCAAGTTCATACATGTACAATAAATTCTCATGAATGCAATCCAGTGAAATCTTACCCATCTAATACTTCTGCCTGATATGGAATTTCAAGTTTAGAGTAACTCTTCTCTTTTGCTTTGACTGTTATTTTTCCAGAAAACTGTGGGGGTCGTTTTGCTTTTGATGCTAAATGTACATTATGAATAAAAACAGTGTTGTTATTATTGCTGCTGCTACACACACATATCATTAAAATAGTATTATTTTACACTAATAAAACTATCATTGTTAAAGTGCTGGTGGATCCCATGTAAATCCCTAGCTTTTTTGCAACCAGCCTACTCAGAGATCATATTAGGATGCTGTTGTCTATGAATAATGTTGCTTTACAGTATTAACTATTTGCTGGGCTTAAGTAGGGAGGCACAGGAACATCTGTTCTTTTAGCCAGAAGATGGACCTTTCAGTAGACTGCTACCATTATACTCTATCCATTCTCACTTGCACAGATACTGAATAATAGGATTCAGTATTTGAACCTTCATAAAATTAACTAAAGTAGATCCAAATAGACATGTATGCTTTGCAAAGACAATTTACAACCTTGTCAGCATTACCTAAATTACTCTAACCTATAACTATTTTAAAAAAATCAAGTGTAAACCCTAACCCCCAAAATTGTTATCACTAGTAATATATTCAACTCTGCAGACAAAAATAATCCCAAACCTTAAATAAGAGGCAGAATGCATTTTGTTTTCAACTAAAAGTGAATGGAAATACCATTACTTACCATCAAAACTAATACTTGCAACTTTGGTATATTTACTTTCAGAAGCCCGCAGTGTAATTGGCTTGAAATGCACTGTGATGGCTTCATTTTGTGGTGTGGGTCGAACACTCTGGAAAACAAACAAAAGTGTAAACAGATTAAATTTGAGGTTGCTGAAATATTATACCCTTCGCATGATGGAAAAAAGACAACAGTTATATCATTTTAATTTTTTATTCACCTTCAATATTTCCTATCACACCAGAAAGAAGACTAAACAGCTGAAAGTACAGAACATGGGCCTAGCTAGGGGCTGGGGATATTAAAAAAACCCCCAAAACTCTTTTTAGCATCTTTTGAATGTGTCCTAGATATGACCAATAAACTGCTTCCAAATGAATGTAAGAACTAGTTAATATTTTAGCATACAAGATTCAGTCTGGGATAGTGGTTGAACAGCTGGGCTGGGATTTTGGAGATGTGGGTTTTAGCCCCATCTGAGCATGAAACTTGCAGGATGACTTTGGACCAGTCATTGACTCTCAGCCTAACTTTCTTCACAAGGTTGTGATAATAAAATGGCGAGGAGGAGGAGAAGGCAAGATGGTAGAAAGAGAAAACATGTCAGACTAGAAAAGTCTGATTAGGGCTGCACATTCAAAATGGTTATGGAATATGCCACAGCAAAGTTAATTAACTATAATTTGGCTTCATTACTTGAAGCAGGTTATTCTCTGTTCAAACAATGTTGGCTTTAATCCTGTAAGAGGCAGGCAGAATTGTGATCATAAAATTCAGTAGAACTACATATGAATGACTGTTCATAATATAGTGGTAAAATAAGCATAATATCTTCTGGCACAGAAACAGAAAAATATAAATAACTTCATACCACTTTAATATAAATTGCCTTCTTTTAAGAAGATACACAGACTTCAATATAAAAGCCCAGTAAAGGTTTCTGACTATAGTATTTGGCAACAATTCTATTAGTCTTGAAGGAATTTAGTTCTATGAGTATCTAGATTAAATTTCTGCTAAATATAGTCGTGGCCTTTCCCATGACATTAGCATGAAGTTTCAAGGAGATTTCTCCCTTGCTTCGAAATGGTGTTGAAACAAACTTCAGAAGCTATATGTTTCTGCTATTCACCTGCCCACCCCATGTTTATATGGCAATACGAGGAAATGTTTTAGACTTCACAATATGCTAGGTGGTATGCAATAGGTTTAACCAGATCACTTTATACCTTGGAGAGTAGCAGAAATAAAAAAACTGAGACTCTTGCAGTGTGAAGCTGGTATCTTTTTAGTAAGAATAAGGGCAAATTATTAGTAGACAAATGAATTAGTTAGATAAACTAACCCAGCTCAGATAGTTGGCTATATACTAACCTTCTTGGTACTTTAACAAATATTAATTCTGTTAAGAGGAAGGTAACTGAGCAGAATTATCTACCTTTTTTTCCTGCTCAGTGTTCAATTAGAATAAATGATTTCATTTTTTGTCCACCAACAATGGGCAACCTTTCTGCCACTGAGCTAGCTAGTAATATGATTAATTTATTGCATCTTTTCCTCTATAACTCAGAGAGTGGGGAACAGGACAGACAGTAATGGAAGATTCACTATGCCTGTAGACTGCTTGTAGAGATGCTACTGCCCATAAGTCTTATATGAGGATTTATGTTACAGTCTGGTTCACAGGTTTAAATAAGACACCCTGAAAATAAGTTGGTTGGTTGTTCACTCTCCAATCTATGTTACTCATGATAGATAATCAGGTACCCTGGGGGCTTGGCATGATTTGTTTCCTACTTCGTTTTCCTGTCTGCTCCCAGTCTATATCCCACGTGCCTTTGCAACACAACCTCAGCAGCCTACTTTGCTACTCCACTTAAGAGTGTGTTTGAATTCATTAGCAAAATAAAGGGTTTTCTGGAGAATTTTCTTCTCCAGATTGAGGACACTTGCATAAATTTAACACTATTTTCAATATCTTTCTAGGATTTGTACAATTTTAACTTTTAAAAAATGTTAGGGAGATTTGTACAAATCTGCCAAAGCTCAGCAACTACATTGCTTTAGTTAGTTACTCTGCTACAACAACAACTAAGTTAGAATTGGCACAAATCTCTCTCAGGTTGAAAAAAAGTTACATTTGCACAAGTCTTCTTGATTATGAAAAAAAACAGGTGTCACTATTTAGTGTCCTGTCAAAGTGGACTAGTAGATTACTTAGTCTCATTTCAAGATGTGATACAGAGGATGAGATTGCAAGGCGAGGCTGGCAGGGTTGTTATTGTTTACACAACTTTTGGCAGACAACTCTCTCATTGTTTTCAACAAGCCATACTGAAGTGGCTCTGTTGGATCAAGGCATCACCACAACCCTAAACAATCCTATTACAAGTCATGGCTTCTCAGGGAGATTTGCCTGTGAAAAATAATTCACAACTGAAAAGTCACTGAGATTGGGCATCATACTAAAACATCATGCAACCACTCATGGTGACAACCATAGCTTAACCTGACATGTGAACCAGGTCTCTACTTGCTACTTGAAAGTACTTTTACCATTTTAGATAAGTAACAAAAAATAAAATTAGCAGTATACCTGGAAGGTGTTCTATGCCTCTGGGTTTGAGGCCATAGGCTGTCTTTATATAACAATAGGCAAGCATTCATGATCACCATAACAAATTCTGGTGCATGTTTACAGTCATTCTGAATGCTCAACCCCTGATGGGGGTTACCATTGTTAATCATGTCATTTGAACTCAGGTGGCAGTGGGTCACTTGAGGACTTACTAATTGTCAAATAGCCCTGAAACATACCATGAGTCGGAGGGTTGTTTAACCTGAGTTCAGATGACATGTTAAGCCATCACAACCCTCCTCTGGAGGTTGAACATTTGAAATGGTTGTATGCATGTGCTTCACCTTAGTGTAGCTTGACACTGTGTTGAGCTGTTGTGGAAATGCAAGCCTGGCCAATAGCTCTTCACTCCATTAAAACTGCAGGCAAGCTAAAGGGGGGGAACATTTGCAGAAGGCACGAGTTGCATCCAACAGTAGTCAAACTTGAAATGGGTCTACTTCATTTCCATGGATCTACTCTAAGTAAGACTAATTTACAGTTTAAGACACAAAGATCAGGCTTTAACTCTAGTTGTAGATAACCAGTTACCATCTTTACTCCATGTGCGGGTAAAGGCAAAACAAAGCTATGTTAACAAGAAATTACATTTCAGAAATATAGACCATACAAGCACAATGTTGTGCTCCTCTCCTATACTGCACAAGCTAGAAGAGTGGGTGAGAAGATGACAACCAAGGTAACATCATTAATGTTTTGATACAGATGATGTGTATGTGGGAAGAAAATCAAAGCAAAGAGAAGTTGGATGAGAATATGAAATTAAAAAGGGCAGTACTTACTGTTATTGGCACATCCTTTGTTCCTGAATTTAACAAGTGTAGATTTAAAACTTTTGGCAGATCTATTGAAACCCAATTAAAAAAAGTTATCAGGCTATGTGGTAAAAATGATGTGGTAAAATACTGCTGACTGTAAGTGCATTACTTTAAGTACTACTGCAAATGACACAGTTAAAAATTAAAGTCATCAGTTGTAAACAAATTTGAAAAAATCCTTCATGTTTTTTATCAGAGGTCTGATAATTAATGATGACTAGATAAACTTGCTAAGCTACCTGAGAATAAGGTATGCAGTGTGGATTGTTTCCAGTACAACCTACAAGGCACCTAACAATCAGGATCACCATGCATCTTCTCCTTTCTCCTTAGTCCTCCAGCTAGTGTCCTTAATGGCAGAAGTGTCCTTAATGGCAGAATCATCTGGTCACTCTCACCCTGCTCCTGCTCCACTACCATGTTTTTTCCCTCCTTAGAGTCTCAAAGCAGAACAACTAGGGTTCAGTTCTTTTGTTTTTTAGGTTTGATTTTTTAAAATTATCATTTATGTCAGTCTGTTGCTGTTATGGTAGCCCAATTTGTATTGATGTGTCTGCTCAATTTCTTTGTACATTTCAGCTGCCAAAGAAAACAGCCAAGTGGAATAGGTAATGTGCATAGATATTAACATGGCCAAATCTGCATATAGCCTAAATAGTGCACAGCTGTCTAGGCATAAATTGAAAATCACGGATAAAAGGGAAAAAACAGCAAAAGACAGTACCACTAAAAGCTCTCTGTGTGTGGGAGACAATCTCCCACTTAACAGTGTAATCCTCTCAACTTTAAGTGTTAAATTGACACTTCTCAGTGCCTTCCACCTTTTCAACATTTCGCTAAGTTTCCTGATTTTCCAGAAAGCACAGATATTAACTCCTCAATCTGTTACCTACTTTACTTCACTATTTTATTTGGCAACTGAAACAAATGTAGAAACTAGGCAGGCAAGTCTATGCTTTAGGGACAACTGTAAATTTGCCCTTGTGCATTTGATTAAGATTCAAAAGAAAAGTATTAACACAATTGCACACTTTTCTGAAGGAGTAAAAGTGGTGAACCAATGGTGGCTGCTTGGACATTGGTGTGGGGCTCCACTGGCAGTGGTACAGGAGAGATAACAAAAAGTGTTGAGGAGGGGGGTTGTTCCTCTTGCTGTGTGGCTTGCTAAGCTGGTCCTGCAATTCATGATGAAATTTGTCTATCTGGTTCAAAGAATACAGAAACCCAAACAACCCCTAAGGCAAGTGAAGGAATGTTAGAATGGCTTATTTCTGAAAAATAAGTCCCCCTGCAACAACCCACCATGGCTACTTACCTATGACAAGTTGTGTCATACAAATTAGGTCTTTTTGAAAAGGTTAGAACAATGCCCCCACCCCGCCACACTTCCAACCAATGATTCAGATGCACACAGTTATATAAAAAAGGAATTTATGTTTTAATAAATACAATTCAGGAAAAGCTGAGAAGAATGGAGATGGCTCTCATTCCATTTTTCATGGCCACATTTTTGATAACACTGTTTTTATGATTTTATAGCTAAATGCTGTATGTCAACTACTATCACAAAAACTAACCAAACATTGCAGTTCTGATTTATTTTATTTATTTCATTTTTATACCACCCAATATCCAAGCCTCTGCATACATCCCAGTGTATACATGAGAACCTTTGAGTAGTTAATGAATTTCCAATTACAAAATGGAGGACAATTTATTAAAATATGTAACCATTTGTACAGTGCTTAATTACAAGTGTACCTGTATAAACTCATTTGAATGACATTCAGTTTGGGAGTATATTTATTAAGAAGTTCTTTTTATATTTTCATTATTCATGTATTTAATTTTACTTTAAATGTTATTTCCAAATCCATATACCCTAAGCATAATTAAGTAAAGCATGGATACATTTGATTGCTTTTACTTCCTTACATGAAAAGTCTAAGGGACAAAATAAAATGTACTCCTTTCAAAACCATATCTCCCTGTAATTAGAAAAGATGGCATATTCAAATATAAAGCTTACCTTGTGTTCTTAATGTACCAAAATCTAGCATTTCTGTTGATGAATAAATTCCAGGGGCTTTAAGAAAGGTGAAAACAAAATGAGCATTTTCTCTACTGCAGTTTGGAAATACATCAAACAGATTAAAATACATTTTTACAAACCTGTTGTGACTTCTACTTCTACTGGAAGAATAATAAACTCAGTACTATCTGAGGCATTTGTTTTTATTCGAATGAAGGCTGTGTAATTATCAGCTTCTCTTGAAGAAAAACTGGCTCTCATAACTCCTTTAGTTTCATAGGGAGGAATTTCCTATTAAAATAGATTCATAGATAATTGTAGAAAATAAAGTCAATACAATTAAAGCCATGTATAGCACAATGGAAATATACAGTATTAATGTTGGATTTTCAGGTACTGGGCTAAACACAGGTATGGAAGGAAGTTTCTAAACCAGATGGGAAAAAAGCCCTATCACATGTAAAGTCTGGAACTGGAATTAGGGGATTATTCAAATACATATTACACAAATGACAACTGGTTATATTTGTTTTTTCCAAAGAATGAGACCATAGCTAATTTTGTTGACAACTTATCTACTAGAAGAAATAGATTCAATGATATCACCAATATTTTGTATAAACATACAACCTTACTTGGTTTTGACAACATAGAAATTTGAACATAGAAACACACAGAAACTTTGTGCTAGCACCCCTGTTACAACTGACAAAAGCACACACCTCTCCCATACCTTATGTATTCCAGTTTTCTGGAACTTCTACATTTGATTTAATTACACTAAAGAGAGTCAAATTTAATTCTGCTAATCTAGCAAATGTCAATCATTGAGGTAGGGGATGAGATGGAAAGTCCAGAGTTTGGAGAACCCCCACAAAAATTACAAGTCATCTATGTTCCCTATGCAAAAAAAGTAGCATTGAGTCCTAATCACTGGCAATAGGCAGGAAATAAATAAATAAGAATGAAAGGAAAAGAAAGAAAGATAGATGCTTTAATCTATAATTCAGAGTTTCTTGCAGTGCCAGGATAGATTTTGCCTTGCGTCAACCACATGCTATACTTCAGCCACTTTACTTTGCCCTGCTGAAGTAAATGGTTATCAAGAAGACAGACAGAGGGTATGATTTGCTAAAAATAATACTACATGCCCTGGGCCACAAAACTCAATGCCACAATGTGTTAGAATTTAAACAACAGGTTTTGGCTGTACCTTGCTAACAACATGGTATGAGTGAATTAGCATTTGGATTACTCACCCATAATTTTCTTGAACCCCCTTGCTGGCCAGTTGGAAGCTCTAGGTGGAGATCACCTCCACTTGAATACATTTCCACCACCTACAAGAATAGCCAAAATTTTCAATTGCAGTTGATCTATTGTTGGAGGCCAAACTAGATGTCCTGAAAGAATCACAATCTTTCAAAAAGAAGATTCCTCATGGAATCCTCACATGGGAAATCATTAAGAAACCTAATCAGACTGCTACAAAGGGTCCTGCCTTGAAATGAGGAGCCATAGATTAGGTATTAATTGTCTGTCATCTTAGTATCAATAGTGAATCTATATTTTCTTCTACATAACTATTAAAGTAGTTAAAGTTTTATAGCAGTATATTACAGCTTATGGGCTAAATCAGTTTTTGTGCACCCATTTGGGGGTATAGACAAGTGCTGTATACATTTTTTTTTAAAAAAATACTGTATTGATGGTTCTACTGTATTTTATTACATGATTTTAATGATGCTTATGTGATGTGCTTCATATAGGTTGTTAACTTCTCTGGACCCTTTGTGAGAAAGGCAGGAATGTCAGTCAAATAACCTGAACCTTATTGTAAGCAGGCTTCTATTTCCACAGTAAAAGTTTCCCTTCCTTTCCCCTGTAGATACCTGCACGGCCCTCAAATCCATGAGTGTTACCCAGACATCTGCAAGCAGTGTGTCTGAACAGTGGAGGGAGAATTCAGATCACCATTTGTGTCAATGTTGCTGGCAGAAGAATGCAGTTTGATACAGCACTATCAATATAACTGGAAGCAAAAACTCTCCAAATAATCAATATTTTCCACTTTGTTTATGCCCCTGAAAAATTCGGCTCCATTAAATTTTGCTACTGTATGCACAGCAGTATGTACAGCTTTTAAACTTTTAATAGTTCTGCCAATTTTTTAAAAAATCTGCTACATATGTATGTATGGGTGTGAAAGCTACACAGTGAAGTAACAGACAAATAAAATTAATATGTTTGAAATATGGTGCTGAAGGAGAGCTTTGAAAATAGCTTGGGCTAAAATAAAGACAAACAATAATGCTAGGGAATACTGAAGGCAGAAGTGGAAAAGGAAATCAAATATGAAATGGATCAATTAGCTAAACTAAGCTAGAGTCTTGTCTTAACAGCTGTTGAGCAGGACAGGACATTTGGGATGGAGTATTCATTTATAGGGTCACTATAAGTCAGAAATGACTTGATGGCAGTTAACAACAAAAGCAAATGTAAAAGTCTGCAAATTTCCTACGTCAACCCTTATAATGTGATCACAACTTTTAAAATAATCAGTTCTTGCAACCAAGACAAATATTTTTACTTGAGTGAATTAAACAGGTAAGTTTCTAAAATGAATGTAGAGAAATGAGCCCAAAATTTCCAAGGTGTGTTTCACAATTGAGCAATGAATGCTTTTACAAGTAGTTAAAACTATGGATACTTACCTGCAAAGGTTCACTGTGGGGATTATGGATATTAATTATAGGAGAAAAGCTGCTATTTACAGGAACTTTTGCTCCAATAAAAGGGCGGAGTCTGTAAGGATTTGGTACTCCTACACCAAACACCTGTTTAAAGTTAAAAAGAGGCGTAACCACCTTATTTAGCATAAGTTTATTTTATATGTTTATTGTAAATTATTAACAGAAAAGAAACCATAACTTTCCCAGCCTGAGGTTTACTTTTGAAAAATGCATTTTAAAATAGTCTCATGCCATATTTAATCTATTTAGGATGCAAGGTAGCATATATAACTTTTTCTTATCTTTCACCATCCATACAAAGTTACAAACCAAGCTACTCTCAATACACAAATATTGCTTTTGGACCTTTTTGGACCTTTTAGATACAGAACTTTTCACAACTAAGAAAATGTTTTGTTTCCTACCTCCTAAACCCAATGACTTAAAGCAATGCAATCGTGTTGATTATGCACATAAAAAGGCTTCCCAAGATATTTTGATCAGTATTTGATATAAAAACCTGTATTCCTTCTTGAAAAAGGCTACTTTGTCAGTTAAATGCTTTCTCCCATACATTTTGGTATTGTGAAGTGCTACTGATTGCAGTTGCATTGCCAATATACAATTCAGTCACTATTATTGTATCTCTTAAAAAAACAAAGATAAGTTAGTGGTACATTTTAAAAATAAGAAGTGCTTCATTGTTGTCCTAGATCAACTGAGAAGATGAAAGTCTAATATCTGGTTGCTAGCTTGCTCATTTCCAAGTTACAGGATCGCACACAGAGAACAGTGAAATACTCAGAGATGCACTAAACATTAAAAGCATGCATAGCTTAGTGCCATTTTTGTTGAACTTTTATATAGCTGAATGATGACTAACTCCAGAACCAATGCTCACTAATATTGAACAAAACCTGAGGAATGAGTTCAGCATAAATGCTGCAGTTTTGACTGAAACTGTAGATACACGTGCTGAACTATGAAGCAAACACAAATTGTTTAGATTGTTACAAAGTGCATTTTAAAATGTTATAGTGCTATTTCCTCTTACCTGGTAAGTAAATACTCCATGATTAGATGTGTTAATAAATAAAGTATTTTCTACATTTCCCACCATTCTTGCAAGAAAAACTACATCAAATGATGTGTTCCCTCCTGGGAGGATTTTCTGAAAAGTAAATCAGAAATTAAAATGCTGTTCATCTGAAAGGTATAGTATTTTAAGAATACTGTCTGTTATTCAAAAGGAGATTGATGTGTAACAACTTTTTAAACACACCGAAACACATGAAATAGCTGACTTTGTACCTATCCTTCCACTGGGAATTTTAATTAAAATATCGACAAAATTAGCAAATTTAGAGCTTCTTTTTGTATCATAAGCCCTGACAATTCTGCTACTTCCTTTGCAAGGACAGCAGCCTCCTACCATATAGTGAATAAAATTACATTAATCTGAAATCCCTGGTTAATTTACTTAGGATTCTGACTTCCAATTTACTTCTTCCTTGTTTCTGTGTGCAGTTTCCTGAATCGGGTTTAGAGCAGTTCGGTCTTATGAGATTAAGCTATTTGGCTATTTTTTCTTTAGGCTAGATGTTGAACAGACACATCCCAGTAACTTGAAAGCTTGCATACTGCTTTGTGAATTTTGGTTTGACCCAGTAAAAACTATTGGTTTTGCTATCATGGTATGGGATTTTTCTAATGGACCAAATACTGGAGTTTTTGTTTTCTGAGTCAGGGATTATTTCTAATCTTATAATTACCTGTTATCTGCATTTTTGGAAACACCCTAGTATAAATTATCAGTGCTACCAACATTTAATGATAAAAGCGATAATCCTCTTTATATTTCAAAATATATGGCATACCAGTAAGCTACAGGTAGAAGATCATGGAAAAATCTTTCTTAACATAAATTAAAACTGATAGTATTAAGAAGTGAATCATATTTTCACCTTAACCATAAGCACTGGGCTCAAACTCATGGGAAAATGGAATTAGATGATGTCTTTTGTGTGCCAACTGGTGTAATTGCATGTGGAGAAAGTATCAAAGCAGCAGACTTCGTCTCTAACTACATGCCTTTAGCAGATGCCAGAAGAGAACTCCCACATGTAAACGGTACATACAGTAAGGCTTAATGTGACAAAGAACATTATTATCCTGGAACTATAGATGTTTTAATGAATTTGTGAAGCTGTGGGATCTGCCACAATCCTACACTTCTCAAGCATATTTATTTGAATATCTGAATGGGTATACTGTTTCTTTCTTAAACACAGTGCATCACTACCACGCACAGTCATTCTGTCCCATGTGCAGTACAGGAGGAGGAAAATTAAGAGTCACTGGCACAATCAGAAATTATGTCAATGTTTTGCACTAACAGAAAGTTATGGTTTACAGTTTGTCCTTCCTTATTTTCATCCACTCAGCTTCATTAATCCATATATCCATTCCTGACTCTGTGGTATGACAGCCTTTGGAAATGGAAAATGGCAAAAATAAGAACATAAGAAGAGCCTTGCTGGATCAGACCTAGCTTTCGTCTAGTTCAGTGTTCTGTTCTTACAGTGGCCAACCAGCTGCCCATGGGAAACCCACAAGCAATAGCACCCTCCTACTCATGTTCCCCAGCAATTGACATACATAGGAATACTGCCTTGGACACCAGAGGCAGCAAATAGCCAGCAGGAGTAGTAGCAGATTGATAGCCTTGATCTCTGTGGAAATGGTTTTTCACTTCAGAAATTATGGCAGATCACAAATTAGGATGAACCATGGCTTGCAAACCCAATTTAGAAGCAATTTCCACAGTGGGTGGGTCATACAACATAAGAAGCCATGGTAAAATCTTACCACCGAGGAATTATTCTGTCATCTGGACCCACCTCCATATTTTCTGTAGTCCGTTTCCGTGTTAACTGTGACTTCTTCAGTTGTCTAGACTGTGGATTTTACCCTGCTTGGTATGGAAACACCATAGACACCCCTGGTAGGACTGGCCATGGAAACTGAAACTAGGAATATAAGTACACTTGGCGGGGGGAAAAGGAACCATCTCATGACCATAGTGGACCGATCAGGAGGCAGCTACTGAAGTGCACAGGCAAGAATAGGGAAAGGACAGTGATTTTACTCACCAGGAAGATGGAGAGGGCAAGATGGAAATCACATTGCACTCTGAACCATGTGATTGTCTGACCAGTAAGTTCAGCCCCAAATTGGCATCATGGGAACCATGCAGTTTCACATGATATATAAACATGGCCTATCTAGCCTAATATTGGTGAGCTCCTAAGTTTTGGTACTTATCTGCATAAGTGCTTTGCTGAATACAATCACCTGATAATCCAAAATGCATTTGCAAACTAGGAAAAACCTATACTAGCTGGTATTTGTGAGCAATTTTTCTGTTGAGATAACAAATGGTAAAATTTCTAGGGAATCACTATGGGGAGGGGGGGGATGTCCCCAACCTGAAGCTTTCCCTATGTTTCAGATTACAATTTTTATTAGTCCCAACCAGCACAGCCAGTGGTTAAGGGAGATTACAGAAGCTGTAGTTTACAACAGGTGAGGGTATCAGGTTGCACGAGACTATCCTACAGAAACATCCCTTGATTTATTTTTCATATACTTCTTCCACAGTGACCTGCAATTAGAGTAATTTGTTAATCTTCCATTCCATTCTACTTCCAATAAAAGTAGAATCCATTATGCCTGGATTGAAACAAGTTTGCATTATATCAAAAAGCAGAGCCAACTCACCCTGTTTTGAAAAAAAGATGCATGAAAGTGTGAGGTTGTTGCAGATATTGATACCAATATAATAGTTTCTTCTGAGCTGGGATTATGCAAGTAAACCTTTTCCATTTTTGGCATCCCAACTGGCCTATATAAAAACAGAAAGAGTAGAAAACATTGCTAGAATGTTTTGTCTCTGCCTGTCATCACATAATCCTTATAATTTTATAGCTACAGGGAACACAGTACCTTAGTACACCAAGAACTGAAATATATTTAAAGTCCTTTCTTCAATTCCAAGTTTTTTCTTTAAACAGCTTTGCAATCAATGGGACAGTTTGTACAACATGGCTAGTCCCACTGTGAATTATTTAACCTATGATGAACTGCAGTACATGCAAGGGACATGCTGCTGCCATTTTGCATATGCAATCCCTGATCAGAGATTGTGTTAGTTCTACCAATCACAGGTTATGCAAGGGTTGTTTAACACTCAAATAAGCCATGTCAGCCAGATTCAGATAACATGACACAATCTCTGATCAGGGGCTACACATTCAATACTGGGGCTCTGGTTCATCACTAGTTAAATAATCCACAATGACTTGGCCATGTTATGTGAACCAGGTATATGAATAGGTGGCACAAATAACTTGTATTAAAAGCTGAGCACAAACAGGGAGTCGTGTGTATTGGGTGCAGTATATACATTTAATAAACAAATAAATAATGTCAGTTTATACTATCAGCATGACGAAGTGGCACAGTTCTTCACAGAGGACACCCCTTGGAACTCTACACACAGATTATTAAGCTTTATCTGATACAGCTCACTGCCACTTGATTATAATGACTCATCAAGTGGCACTAAATATAAACTTTTATTCTTTGTGGAGCAGTTAATTGCAGGATACAGGCTGCTTAGAATACTAACCAAAGTGTGCCAACTTACTGTTCATGGAAATCCAGCATTGGTGGTTCAAACTGAATAGGTCTGCAGTTCCCTCGATACATAGATACACTGTTAAGAACAAGAAGAAAGCAAATTGGCAAGTTTTATGTCAGATGCAATTAACTCAGATATATGCATATTTCATCTATACTGGAAACTCTAATACTGCCTACAAAGTCAATTTTCCCAACAAGCACACACATTTTATTACATTCTTGCCTTCTACTAATAATCTTTTACCAAGAGTGGATTACACTCTACAGAACATGCAACATAATCTATGCTTAGGCAGCCTGCAATCCGGGGCTGAGTTTGGACAATCAACATTAAACCACTGCTTCATATTCTGGCTTACTTTGAAGCCACTAATAAAGGTTCCCTGGTTTCAGACATAATTGGAAGCTGTGGTTAAATGCAGTTTCTGACTTATTTTGCTGGTCATATGAAGGAAAACACCTGCATCTAAGTGCCTGAAGCTTGTACAAACTCAGCTTATTAAGCTTCTGATCTTCTGAAAGCAGCCAAAAGTTAATTTATTGGTCAGCTTGCTTAATAGAATGAACAAACTTGCAGAATGTCTTAGTTATCTCCTAATGCACTTTCACAATGTGAATATATAGTAAATCATTACACAGAGAGCAGCCCATTATGAACTTCCCCTGTATGAATTATTTCCATACTGGTTCAACTCTATATTAGAAGAGAAGTATTATGTTAATTTATACATATTGAATACAAGAAAATATCAGTTTGATTATAGAAAACAAATGCAAATCAGAAAGTCTAGTCTTCAAGGAAAGGTGTTTAAATGCACACGCATTATAAAGAAGCTTCCAGTTTTGCTGCCAAGAAAGATATACTGCTTAAATGTCACCAGGAGATATTCTGTCAGTAATTTCTGCCCTAGGAAAAGAAAATCCCACCATACAAAGAAGGGCATTCCAAATACCTATACAACACAACACCCTTTTAGTAGCTGTTATATTTAGCAATGTGTATCTGTTTTGTCACTACACCTGAATGGCTGTAGATTACATGCATGTTGAGAGGAAATATATAATAAAATAGGGAATGAATAAAAGCGGTCAAGTCTTACCTATCTATGTGCATCTGAGGTGTCCAGTGTCTCACCATAAAGTGTAGGCAAACTCTGCATTAGAGAAAGCAGTGGCATGGCCCCTGTTGAAGAGGTCCACCCTCAATCTGACAGATTTAAACTGAAGGGGTGGAGCACTCCGGGATGACAGTGATTTGGATTGAATTAAATCTGACTGTCCTACAGTTTTGAGAAAAGAAACAGTCTTGGCTGCCCTGGTGAATGAACTGTACGACTCAGGTGAATGTACAAGCACAACTGAGTCTCTTACATCTTGTCCTGAGGGTCTTCCCAGCCAGTGTGGGAACAACAACCTGGTTCGATCCTTAAACCAGTATTCCTGGCTGTCTCCAGGAGCTCCAGCTGTCAATCTGGTATGACTCCCATGCCTACTTGGGAGAGGGAGAGTTGCTGGATGCCACCAATGGCTCCATTTGGACAGGACTCCTGGGAACAAAGACCAATGGGCTTCCAGCACCAGTACTAGAAACCATTCTACCAAGGAGACCCATGGCCTGCTTCCTCATCCATCCCAGCACCACCATGTCCAGGACCAGCATCCCCTGCTGTTCAACTACCAGCAGTGTGCCCAGCTCCACCACCATGAGCACTGCCTTCACTATCCACTCATTCCTCTACATCTTCCACCCCGGAAGACTGTGTCTCTGATTCAGATATGGCACAGTATCATGATCTGTCTTCCACATCACCAGAGGACATTGTGACCACCCAAGGACCAAAATCCCCCTCCAAAGATTTGAGTAGATTGTCTGAGCAGGTCCTCTGGATGGTGACATCTCTCAGGCTGAAGGATCTAACAACTAATAGAACCATCAATCGATCTGATCTATGAAGCCATCCAGATGGAGGACTCTGTCCCAGTGGCCATCCCATTTGTGCCGACCCTTCTCAATGCAATGAAGGAGTCTTGGAAAACACTGACTCAACGGTGGCTCACATCCAAGTGCTTAGACAGTCTATATCAGATTCAGGAGGGGGATACCTCCTTTCTCCTATATCACCCTCATCCACACTCAGGGATGGATTCTTTCAGTGGTGCTTCCACTCCAGATGAACATCACAACACTTGTTTTTGATCTATCCTGCCTTGTCTGTTTTTTTGTTTATCGAATTCTGTAAAGGACAAGGCACCTGCCCCCCGAAAGTATATGATCAAAATTTTGTCAAACATAAGGAAATGGCCTTCAGTTGAGCAATGAAGCAGACTCAGCCTTTTTGTATAGGAATTAAAATCTTTCAACTCAAAATGAGAAAAGAATAGTATTATGCATATCTACCCAGATGTGAAGCTCAACTGAGTTCAATAGAATTTACTCATAAAGAAATCCTAAGTAATACAATCCTAAATGTATAGGAGTGTAGCCTAAATCTTGAACTAGTCAAAAAGCAAACCTTAATTCCAGCCATAATATATGTAGGACCCTAGTTACAAAAACAAATCACAGTGGGTGTGCTGCCTGCAGTGTGCCTATCATTTCCATTATTATTCAATAATCTGAGATCTGTTCCTGTTGTTGAACATGATATCCAAACAAAGCCCAGTGCACTCTTTAGGAGCTAAGCACCCCGGCACATTTTGGGCTAACTTCTTTTACAAAAATGATCTTGGTTTTGGTGACATGCTCTGCAACCTACGAAGGAGCCAACTGTAGGTTGTGAGGTAAAAGTAAAAGAGGTAGGTGCACTGTAGATAGCATGTCTGCTTCTCCCCATTTATGCACAATAACCCATCAGCTTTAAATGGATTGGTTGTTCTGCCATGAGAACAGGCCCACATTTGTAATTGAACTGCACTGCCTAAACTTAGCAGGCACAAAGTTCTGTAAAGTAATGGGTATAATATGAATCTCACTCCAAAGATTTAATAGCTGCTAACAGATGAAGATAGTTGGGCACATTAGAAAGGCTCAACTCTTAACATTTGCCTGCAGTATATGTAACTCCTTAAAAATAAGAATTGGTGTAGTTTTCAAATCCATTCTACTTAAAGTAAGAATTCTAAAGAATTTGAATTTTGCTCTGAACTGTTATCATAAAACAGTAACAAAAATAAAATAAAATGGCGATGATGACCATTTCTTTTGACAGTTATGCTCATGCCAGTATAACCACTGTTCAAACATAAGCCAGTTAGTAGGCTGATGGTCTTCAAAAGTGTACCTGTAGAAATATTGAGAATTTCACTGGGGATCCCTAAACCCCTTGAAATCCCTTTATACCTAGATCTTTACACCCCTTAAAAACCATATGTCCTAAAAACCAACTGGAAGCAGTGAAAAATAAGTGCTTTTTCTTCACAGTCATAAAAGATGTGATTTCTTTTTTTTCACACCCACAGTACACAGATTAAGTGAGGATATCTTAGCATGAACTTTGAAATCAGAACAGCTCTAGCACTACACATGACCAGGTCCAAAGTTACATGAAAATTTCTTGAGGTCACATACATTCTGTTTGCAATACCAGAAGCTGTTTACAAACAAAACAACAAAATCTACATACACATGAACACACACATAGCATAAAGCTAACTAAAGTTTATGGAAAGGTCAAGGTAAACAGGTAAACAGAGGCTGAAGATAAGTTAAGTCTACTTTCTTGGAAGGCTTGGAGAGGAAGCATGCAAAAATATAGAACACCTGCCCCTCCCCATCAGAAGCAGAGCATGTTCATTCAATATCTAAGTGCTAAGGTTACTGCTAAAGTATAAATTTCAGAGTGAAAAGATTTCACATATGAATACACTCCTCTGGATACACTCTGGATACACTCACTATATGCAGTGAAGAGGATAAGTTGTATGCTCTTAAGCTTGATGTTTGCTCCCAAATTTTTTGGAAATAGAGATCAGCTTGTAAGCGTTCAAAGAAAAAATAACTGTTCAGGAAACTACAGACTGCATCATACCAAAAACCTTGCTAAAGAAGGCTCCCATACCATATCACTTCTCTACCAACAGTATGGGTGTGAAATCTCTAGCCAACAGGCCAGGTACAATCTACAAGGCCTCTCCATCTGACCTGCTGAGTGTGCACCTCTTCAGAAGCTGTATCCTTCACAGGAGAGCAAGGGGGAGAGGCTAGTCATCTCTGTTGGAAGTGTCCTGTTGAAGGTACTGTGCCTTAAAACACAACAGTCCTAAAAGGATTGTCTCAACCCTTGCCTATTCTATTTATTTGGTTGCAGTATTACTTCTCATATGAAGCAAATTCTGAAGATGTTTAAGAATCAAATCAAACAAAGCAAACCAACAAAAACTGCATACACGCACAAAAGAGTATCATGAGGCTGATATAAGGTTAACTAATAACTTGGGGGAAACAAAAGTAAACAGGTAAACAGATCAAGGTTACAAAGAAGTTAGCTCTGCCTCTCTACCTTCTTGCTTCAGTAACTTAGTGGCTATTTTGAAATCATGAAATTTCCCATTTTTCACAAACTAGTTTCACAGGGTTTGCAGGGTTCTTGTTTTCTTTAATACATCCATGTATTGTCTGCCAGGAAAATTCCCTAAATATGTACTGTGGGTCAGCAAGTTGAATACAAATAATTTTCTCTCCTTAGGTGTTTTCAAGTAGATTTTTGCAACAATTAATTAGGATTTGCAAATTGAGCCATTTCCCAAGATAACAAAGTGATAATCCATTTCCCCTCTCCCCACCCCAGCTTTTTGGAAGAAAAGACAAACTGATTTGTTGAGAATGAGGAATCTGGCCAGTGTAATACAACAGCAGTTAACTTATTTTTATTGCCTCCCATATAAATTTGGTCCGTGTTCTCACATGCCAGTCATGCATTGCAACTATTTACAATACACACAAAGGAAATACTTATTAATCTGCCACACGTAGGAGACTGGGAATTTTGCCAAGAAAATCAAACTACCACCACCTCCAGTCTTTTAGAAAGTACTTTAATGACTATCACAGCAGTAAGAAATGACTTTTTTTTT